TGCCACACTGATGCCTGAAGCTCACTCTCACCTTCCCAGGTCTAGGGGATACATTTTTTTAAACCTTTTGACCCCCTTCACCCATTTCTCCCAATTCCCACCCGCTTCCTCTGGCAACTACCAATCTGTTCTCTGTATCAAAAACAGAAAATCATCTTTTAAAGAACCAAGTACAAATTTGTAAATACATGTGCTTAAACTACACACACACACACACACACACACACACAAACACACACACACACACAACTATGGTAAAATTGAGAAGGAAATAGAGTTATCTAAAGCATCCATTCTGCTTACCACATCGTCCCGCTCTCCATCCCAGTATGTATGTTTCCTTCTCAGCACATGCTTTCACATAGTTGCCTAAAATTGTACACAGGCAATCTTCACTGTTTTCACAAGCACAAGTGTATTTTTTGCATTCCTTTAAAATAAGAAACAAATTAATATGACTTTATGAAAATATTCATGAGAACAGGTAAACTGGGTAAATTACTTGAGTTCATAACAACTCCTCTTCCCTAAAAACAAATTGTCTTTGAAACTTTTGGAAATATTTCTTTTCAAGAATATGCAAAATAGCAAGTCAATTATTAACTGGGTTTTCAAAGAACATAGGAAAAAACAGGAAGAAAATCATTCAAGATTTTTTTTCATTTGGGGTTATATTTTGTACCACTTTTAAAATTAGAGTTGGTATATCTAATAATTGAATAAATGAGTGAAATCTAATGTTAAAGTTAAACATATCTTAATCTACTGACAATAACTGTTAGTTGAAAATTTTTAATATCTACATACTTCTTTTGATGTTATCAAAGTATTTCCCCCCAAAAGCTGTAAATATTAGACCCTCACATACCTCAAGATATGGTTTAGGATTCACAATTGGATGGCAGGAAGCAAAAGGCCCACTTGCATCAAGAAGAATTCCACAGTGACTTTCAGCAAAACTTTCTGGAAGAAAATTAATGCACCCAAAATTTGTATCAATAATGTCATAATTTTTTAATTGAAAGAAAAAA